TTTTTTTTTTTTTTTTTTTTTTTTTTTTTTTTTTTGCAAATTTGCGAAAAGTTACCTGAACGTTCATGTAAAAAAGTTTTTTAAGAAAAAGGGGAAGCACTGTTACATGAATTCTTGTACACCAGTAGAGTAGCAAGATGGAGTCCTGTGTTAGGGTCCCTTCATAAGTGTAGTTGACTGAACAACCTGCTGAAAGCAATTCGAACGATTTTGTTCGCTTCTTCCTTTCACCTGGTGAACAAAGAACAATGTTGTATGGTGTATGTTGTGTGTTGTATGCACTCATTTGTAGTGGGCAGTAGAGTTATAGTGCAGGTATAACTGTGAACCCGCGACAATCCTGCATTGACGTAACAACAGTTGTTTCGCTCGTGCATCTCTAGCAGAGGAGTTGTAAAAGCGTAATGAACAACATACGATAAAAGAAAAAAAAAAAAAAGAGTAAATATATATCCGCTTCAAAGTCCATTCCGTCTTTTTTTTTTTTTTTTAAGTTAACCATTTGGGAGCATCGTACCGAGATGCTCAGGTGAATACACGTATGTAATGGAAAACAACTGGACTTTATTGTCCCCCTCTTTCTGTTCTATATTGAATTATCCTCTCTTGAGAGTTTCCATTAGAAGAGCAAGATGAACACACCAGGTGTGGACGTGCGCAATGGCAAGGCCATCCAAGGGGACATATGCACCAATAGGTATTCCCTAATATCTAAGCAGGTACTTTTGTTTGTATCATACGTGCGAAGTGTGTAACGTGAGTAACATTGGTGTGTGTCTCTCACCGCGCATTATGCTGCTACCAGTTGTCATTTGTCATTTTTTTTTTTTTTTTTTCTTTTTTGTCTACCTCCCCAATAATAGACCCTTAACCGGAAGGAAAATACCTTATGGAAGTAAAAAAAGAAAAAAAAAAAGCAACTCACAATGAGCATTCTCATAAATACATGCACTTGTGTGCCATCCAAGGAAATAATGGTGTCCCATGTTTGCGTCATACAACACTTTCCGCCTCCGCTTCGCAGCATCCTAAACTACGGCCGTGTCCCTAATGAGGGCCTAAACGAAATAACCATCATGAACATCTTGCACCAGATATCTTCCCAAAATTTGTGCGTAAAAAAAAGATCATTTGCTTCGTGATGCGATGTTGTAGAGACGAGGACATATACAACTCATTTTGGCCCTATTTCCTTCCTCAGATGCAACAGCGAGAAGAATGTCAAAATCGGGGAGAGGGAGAATCGCATATATAGCGCGCTCGTGCGGAACAAGTATATCGGATTTGGGCACGGCATCGGCAGGTGAGCAGCTGTTCCTCCCCCCCACACACACACACACACGCCTTCATATGTGTGTGTGCGCATCTATGCGTGTATGTGAACATTGAAGAGACTTGCTCACTTAAATTATTCCCCTTACGCAGGTCCGGGAATCTGGACGACGTGCAACCCAAGAGCGCAGGGAACAGTATCCTGGCCAAGGCGACCACGAGCTTTGTAAAAGATCTTATCAAAAGCTTTGGAATAAAAGGTTGTGAAGACGTGTATATATTGCCATACGCTACAGGGATGTGCTTAAGTACCTGCTTGCTGTACACAAAAAAGGAAAGAGAAAAAGGTGAGTATGTAATAATTTCTAGAATAGATCATAAGACCTGCTACAAATGCATCGATTTTTGTGCCTTGAAATATTTAGTAGTGGACATGGTTTACAAGGATGAAGAATTATTTACAAACCTGAACGAAATAGAAAAATTGATACAAACATATGGTGAAAAAATCTGTTGTGTCATGTCCGTCACATCTAGTTATGCCCCAAGGAATTCAGATGACGTGGTAAAAATTGCTCATATTTGCAAGAGGTATAATGTTCCACACATAATTAATAATGCCTTTGGATTACAATGCACTTATTTGTGTAAGGAAATACAAAAGTGTTTTGAATCGAAAGGTCGAGTGGACTTTGTGGTTCAGAGTTGTGATAAGAATTTCCTTGTCCCTGTTAACGGCGGGATCGTATTCAGCTCCGATAAGAAAAAGATGAAAGAATTGAAAAAACACTACCCTGGTAGAACCCCCGTGCATGCATATTTAGACCTCTTCATCACATTACTAGAATTAGGAAAAAAAAAAATTCTAAACCTAAGAAAAGAAAGGGAGGAAAATTTTGTCTGGTTGCAGGAAAAGGTTTATACTCTGTGCTCAAAATATAACTTAAGTTTAATCAAAGCTAGCAAGAATAAAATATCCATGGCGATTAATTTAAACGAGCTTTACAAAATTTGTCATGTGGTAACCCCTCAGAGTATTACCCTACTGGGTTCTTTACTTTTTTACAGAAATGTAACGGGGCATAGGGTTATATGCTCCCCGCTCTTGATACGAAATGGAGCTGGGGAAACAGACACGGGGGATCACCAACGGCAGACTGATGTAGAAGTTTCTTTTCCCATTCACCAGGGGGAAGTAGGTCCCCCTGGAGTTGACACTACTGAGCAGGGTGCACATATCGATGGGGCGTTTTCCCCTAATCGTGGAAAGAGTGAAGATGCACGTCCGATCCATTCTTCAGACAACCGCAATGAGGGGGGTGTAAAGGAAGAGGGGTCCCAAACACATCTGGTAAAAAAGGAACATGTAAATCACGCAGATATTCATAAGAAGAAACCCCTAACCATTGGGAACCACACATTTGAGTACTTTGGGTGCAGCTACGATTTGTATCCCTTTTCCTACATCGCTTTCTCCTGCGTCATTGGAATTGAGCGGGAGGAGCTGCAAAGCTTCGTGGCCAAGTTGGACGACGCGATTGGCTGCTTCATACGCAAGTTCGGCAGGCGCCACTAAACTCCCCAGTTGCGTATCAATTCACCTCACTATGAGTACCATCCCGATATGGGGAGAATAGGCGTGGGTTTCTACTTTTCAGAAGGCCGCTACTCACTGCGCGCTTCTGAACAGTGACTATTTCGAAAACCACGCATTCGTGGGTCTTTAAAAAAAAACTGAACAAAAAAAATTGGTAAAACGTTCGAAGAACATCAGCATACGTAGATGCACATGGATACACAGGTGCCGCTGCAAGTGCCGCACAGCTGCGCGGCGAATGAAGTTAAAAAACAAACACATTGGTGAAATGGTGACGTAGGCAGTGGGTCAAACAAAAAAAAAAAAAAAAAAAAAAAAAAAAAAAAAAAAAAAAAAAAAAAAAAAAACATGTGGAAAAAGGGGCGAAGAGAGGAGAGGGAAAAAAAAAAAAAAAAAAAAAAAAAAAAAAAAATGAAAAAAAAAGATGAAAAAAAAAAACCCTAGCGATGTGCAGCTTTACTGCCATATCGGTGGGAAGACAATGCTCCCCTCCCCCCCACGTCTACACATATCAGACAAACGAACTTTATGCCCTCTGGGGTTCCCTCAAATGGGCTTTATTATAATTTTATTTATTTGTATAAAATTTTGTGGCATGTCCTTTTCATTGTGGTTCGTTTTTTTTGGGTAGAGGAAAGCCACTCTGCAGGTGTACTCGCTTTTAAAAAAGAAGATTTCTCCAACGGGAATGGACATGTCTGATTCAGATCCGGTTGTCTTATTATCCTTTGAGTTGTCGTGTTCCTTCCAGAATAAATACCACTTGGCCTTTTCCTTGTCCTTTTGCTTTTCCTTTTGCTTTACCTTTTCGGCTTCGTTGGCCTTATGGGGCGCGTATTTTTCTGTCCGTTCGCACCTGAGTCCTCCTGCGAAGAAGTCCTCGGGGACGCTGCAAGAGAGAAGCGGGCGGGAAAATCGTTGGTCGTTTTTTGCACGGGCGAATATATAAATACGACGCAGAAGTGCGCCATTCATTGCATATACACGCAAACGAGAAAGGACATCGCGCGAGAGTGGCACGTGTAGAATTACTCCTGGTCCGTCATTGTGAGTCTCTCCACCGGGACAGGTCTGAGGCCATCTTTTAGGTCTTGAAAAAAAGGCTTCATCTTTTCGACCTGCGCAGGGGGGTAGCTGTTTCCCCTTCCAAACAGGAACGTCACTTGGACGCGGTTTAGCAGCTTGTACACGTCACTGCTTCTGCAAGGGAGGCGTGGGCAGGAAAATGGGAAGGTGTTAATTTGGGCACAGGACAGCCCCCATAACAGGCTGTTCAACAGGGCACTTTTATCTCTGCTGCTATTTCCATCCAGGAGCAACAAAAATGAAATGTACCGTTCCTTTTTTCCTTACAGTAAAATGTGCGTGTCCGGCTTCTGCGTCGACACGAAATTCCAATTTAAAAAGGATGTTCCCTCCGCTGAAAAAATTGCCTGGGAGTTTTGCCCCATCCAGTGAGACGTAGAAGATCCATCCAGGACTACACAATTATGAACAACATGGTCTCTACTTTTTAAAACACCTCTTGGAAGAATATTATTTTTTTCTTCTGCATATGGTTCCATGAGGACGGCAAAAACTGGCTTGCGCATTTGAAATTTTGAGGTGCTTATAAAATAAACTATACTAATGAGGGCAAACATGCTGTTTACTAGACTCCACATTTTGGTCCTTTTGTGTTCCCTTGGGGTGATGCAAAATAATATGGAGCCGATTATCCAAAGGATAGGAAATTTACAAACCAACCCTAGGAAGAAAAGTACTTGAAGACAGCTAGGGTCATCGTTTTCGTCTTCGGTGTAAATTGTTTCTTCGTTTGTTTCCTGACGTTGGGTTGTATTGTGATGTGGTGTGGTCAATTGGGTGTTTGCTTCACGTACTCGTTCTAGCCAATAGTTTTTTATTCTTTCCTTTACGTAAGATATATTTTCCTTAACGTAGGTAGCTATTTTGTTGGAAATATTACTGTAGCTGACGCGGTGGGTTGTAGCAGCATATTGGCTACTTCTACCATTCTCTGCCGCATCTTGATTAGATGTAGTACCATTTGTACCTGAATCTGGCCTTTCCATTATAATGATCCCATTTTCAACGTTACTAAAAATTTCATTTATTTGTGAGCGATTGGAGTTTAGCATAACAGAGCTGTTTAACAGATCATTCGGGTTTAGTTCGTTCAGGCAAATCATCTCGTTGGTCCGGTTGCTTCGATGTGGGTAAGAACCTCCTCTTTCTTCTCCCCCTGCTATCTGACTAGTGCTGTTCCCCTGCATTATAAATGCATCCTCATCCTCCACAAGGTGCACTATGTTGTTAGGATGACTCGGGTCCATTCCATTGCTACCCACAATGGTCAGTTCACAAATGTCGTTGTCTACTACATTATCATTCGTTATGGGGTTCCCCCTCCTGTCCACAAAAGCTTTTTTTATTTTGTAGAGCATCTTGGAAAAAATATTCGCTTCACTGCTGTTGGCGCTGCTTATATCTTGCGAGTCTGCGCTACTCATTGCTGGGGGGTCCCCACTGCTCACATTGTGCATATCATCACCACTCCTTACATCATAAATGTGGTCCACTACAGGGAGCACAATATTAACACTTGTTCCACCACGCCCATGACTACTGTGAAGGTGTTCCTGAGGCCACTCCTCCTCATTGTGTCCATTCCGTGGTGAGTTTGACGTGTGGGGAGTATGGTCCACGTTGAATGGTGCGTCTTTTCTTGTACTCCTGCGGGGTGTCTGCTTTGAATTGGGGTGAAGAGATGGAGCCGTCGTGGCGTCTAGCTCCCCGCTGCTTCTCTGCCGTTGAAGTACAATCATTTCCTCCTCGCTACTACTACTTTCACTGTTGTCGTCATGGCTACCACGGTTGCTGCTGTGGTTGATGCGCTTTTTCCTTTTCTCCCTCCTTATCCTTAACAAACGATCAATGTCACTTTTGTGGGAGATCATGCATCCGCTTAGTTCGGGGTCCTGTCCATCTTGTGTTCTATTGTTCCTCCTCCACTCGTCACTTGAAGAACCCCCTTTAAACTCGCTTACCCTTTGGACATCCTCTATGTGTACTTTTTTTTTGTTAGTTGCTTTTTTTTTTTTACTGGGTTTTTCTTCCGATATGTCGTCCGCATTCTGTGAGTAGTTCACTTCCCTTATTACGGAATATGTGTGTTTTTTTTTTTTTTTTTTTTTTTTTTTTTTTTCATTTTCAAAGGTATCCTCGTTACTACTTTCTCGAGCTGAGCAGTCGTCCATTATTGGTTACTTTCAAGTTTGCACTTGTTGATGAGCAGACGTAGCGATGGTGGTACGGGTAGAGGGTTCCTTCTGAATCGACTTCTTCACTCGTGAGCGTTATGGTAGGGCGTCACTTATTGGTGAGAGACTCGTCCATTGGACTGGTCGAAGGAGCCGCAGCCGAAATAGCGGTCACCCTGGGCCTTCACTGAACGAATTAAACAGGACAACCATCACAGTACTGACATTAGTGACATTAGTAGCATGCGTGGCACACATTGAAGGAAAGGAACTTTCAGGAGGGGCTTTTAAAAAGTGTCCTGCCCATCAGCTGCTCCTGCAATGACACAGTAACTTGAGCATCACATGAGGAGCAAACTTTGTCGCGTCAAAAGGGTTAGCAAATATGGTTATATATACCTACGTGTACGTAAATGTAAAAACTGCACTTTAATATTTCCCCCTTTTTTTTTTTTGTTTTTTTAACGATTGTATTAACTGCGGCCTATGCTCTTTTCCTTCTCGTCGCTCTGCGTTAATGTTGTACCATGCTAGGCCATTTTTTTTTTTTTTTTTTTTTTTTCACCTGTTGGAAATTCTTCGGGCATTCTCAATTTCCCCAGGGCGTGCGCATGTGGCGTTGCGGGAGGAAAAAAGAGTTACGGACGGATTTGACGAATGCGCCACAACACGTATGGTGGATTTTTTTTCTTCTTTCAAAAAAACGCACGGTGTGTAGCCACGGGGGGAGTGGAAAAAAAAATAAAAACATAAAATAATACAAGCCAAAACGGCACAACTGAAAGGCATTCAAATATAGGTAAAAGGGCAAACTGTGCGAACCCCTTGTTGTTTCTCCATCCCCCGCTTCAGCCCCTCTAACTTTGTACAGGCCACAAGTACAGCCACCCCAATGCGCCATTCGCTACAGTCCGCTGGACGGATCATGCATCAGTGTATGATGGACCAGAAGCGGAAGACAAATGACCCAGCGTGGTGGAGACAGAAGGGGGAAAGCATCCCCCACAGGATTGTCACTGCGTGGTTATGGCAGTTCACTCTCTCCATCCATCATGCAGTGGTAGACGCGCACTCAAATGGTGCATTTGTCCTTTGCGGTGTGTAGAGGTTACTTGTGCGCCATCTCTCAATCATCCAATCTAATTTGTTCAAAAAGAACAGTTGCCTCATTTCATGTGCAACGCCCCCACACCATTTTTTGCACCAGCGTGGGAGGTCTCCACTGACTGATGCTATTTTAATGAACACTTTTGAAAAGCCTTTATATGAGGACATGACTCTTCTCCCCACTTGGGTAGGTAGTAGTTTGAGGACGAGCTGCCTGTCCCCCATGATACATTTACAATTTTAATTTTATAATTTTTGTTTTTCTTCCATAAGACAATGTCGTGCTTCAGTCTTTTCCCCTTCGCGTGATTCACATCGAAGCGTCAGAAGAAGGGGACGGAGGCACGAACGTGAAAAGTGAAAAATGTAACTAAAAAAAGAATGAAATTAATGGGCTATTAAAACAGACAAAAAAAAAAAAAAAAAAAAAAAAAAAAAAAAAAAAAAAACACTACTCATGCAGTGCAAACCATGTTGTAGACTCCTATATGAAAAAAATATTACTAACATTTATTTCACCACGTTTGTTCTGAGTCTGCCAAAAGAGTGAACCACTAATTTTATGCGTCATCTTGGAGGGAGCATCTTACGCAGATATCCCCCCCATGGGGGTTCCTATTCGTCACAGAAAAGAAATGCCCTTCGTGATGTCCCTACTTTGCTTACAAGCCGCTTATCTCATGTGTTTTACTTTTTCACCACAGACTTTCTTATGCTCGCTTTATTTGTGGTTTCTTTTTTCTCTCCCGCTTTGGCCCTGTGTGTATGTGTGTGTGAAGGAACATGCATAATTGAGGAAGCAGTTACTCCAAAGGTGGAAGAAGCTTTTACCCTCTCATGACGCCAACCTGTATAGCCACAAACGGAGGAAACGACTACAACGAGGCCGAACTCGATGGCCGAGCTTTTGTACTGTGAACTTACTTAAGGGGGAGGTGCGTCGCACGCTGAATCAAAATGCCAATTAATATGACCGCTAAGACTGCGCCCCCGGCCAGCAGAAATACCAGCGCGTTGCATTTACTTCGGCTGAAGCAGCGTCCCTGTGGAAAGGAGTGTTTTGTGAGTCATTTTTTACGCGTTAAATTAAAAATTTTTTTTTTTGCACAAATGTGTTGCACTTTGTGTGCCTGTCGCAGCGGCTCCGTGTGGATATCTTTTTTTTGTCTTACCAAAAAAGAGCAGTGGCAAAAAAGGGGTCCGTCCCCGCTCTTGCTCTCAAGTGTGGCCTGCAAATGGGATAAAAAAAAAAAAAAAAAAAAAAGTGCCAACGTGTTAGGGGTTCCCATAACGGGGTGAAATGTACAAATGCGGGTGTGCCTCCGTGGTGATGCGTGACACATCAGTTAGACACACACAGAGGGGGGTAATGCAAACCCACTTGTAAGTCACTAAAGTGGTGACTAAACTTACCATCGAGATGTTGTTTCCTCGTTCCCCACTTACTGCTCTCATACATGTGTATATGAAAAGAAGTGATGGAAAAAAAAAAAAAAAAAAAAAAA